CCCCCCAGCCCTGCCCAACTCCCTCCCTCCCTCCCTATGGGGGCCTCAATCCACCCACCCTCTCAAGACTTTCCTGCAGGAGCTGCTCTCCAGGCTGCCTGGCAGCCATATGCATACACATGCACATGGAGCCCCCTGCCTAACCACCCTCTTCCCGCTCCCTCCAGCCCCTGGCAGGCTGGACCTCTGCCACCTGCAGAGAGCTCTTTGCAAAAGTGCACGAGCCACAGATTTTTCCACTAAAATGAAAAAAATCCGTTTTCCTTGGGTAAAGGGGAAAAAATCCACATTTTTCTCCTTTTTATGCATGGGAAACAGAAAACCTGGATCACTGCTAATAATTCATGACTATACAAGTACTTTTAATAAAAACCCATCTATTTAATGTGTGAGCATAGGAAGTGAGAATGCTTACTGTTCTACCCAATTTGATTGAAAAATGAGGTTAGGTTTGTTTGTTTTTTTTGACATATTCACACTTGAGCAACTTTTTGTACTACCATAGTTGTAGAAGAATGTTAACAGGCTCCACTGGGGAATCCCACGCTGCCTTTAGCTGAAGGGAGATTGCAAAGTGGAGTGTTTGGAGCCTCACTTGCAGAAATTAAGGCACCTTCAGAGTAAGGCGCAGATTTAAATTTTGGATCTGGACGTGTGAAGTGGCAAATCAGCACCTAAGTCCCCTCCTCAATACAGCCTGAAAATGGCCAGTTTTTGAAGTCAGAAAGTTCCCACCTATAATTACTCAGCTGCAGTTGTTATCAACTCCAATGTAATCCAACACAAAATATATAAAGTGACAGGATGCAGTCTGTAAGCACTGTGAGCAGGACATTTATTCCTATTCCAAAAACATTTTTACAACTGTATTTGTAGCAATACAAAATTACATTTTTATTTTTTTTTTACTAGAAGTATGCCATAAATTGAGGCCAGATTCACTGAAGGTGCAATAAGGCAAACACATGACACTTTCACAACCAAGTATAATTTATACGCAGCGAGTGGGAAGGATGAGTTTATGGCAAAACAAGAAACCAACATGACTTCCACGTTCATTTCCCATTAAATCAGACGCTCCCTCCCCCTGCACACAGATTCACATATTTCAGCAATGTACAGTAATGATACCATTCACATAACTTGTGCTTTGTCTATTTATCTCTGTTATTGACTAGTTATCCAGATTTGCCAAATTTCAAAATTTCTTGCTGATTTTCCCCTTTTGACCTATAACTATGGGATCATTTTGAATAAAGTATAACTTTGGTCATTGTGGTATGTACATTAGTACAAAAATTAATGTCCAGGCATTTTAAAGAAAACTTTTATATAGAGTCAATGCATGGTATTAATGATAGAAAAACAAATGTGTGCACAAGCTCATTATTTAGACATTTCTACTTGATTATAACTGTTGACTAGAAAATTATGTAGCTCATGTAGCTGCAATTTAGGGTTAAAAGCAGGCACTGCAGGATACAGTAGTGTATAATTAATGTATATTAATCAATAATCAATGTATATTAGATGTAATTATAACCTGCATGGTAGGGAAAAAACAAAAAAAACTTTGTCCTAACACACGGTGTATCACTTTTAATAATAAAAACCCTTGTTCTATAAAGCCAAGAATGGCCTATATAATTTAAGTAACAAGGGGTCTGAATCTCCCTTTTGAGGACACACAAACAGCCACTGACCAACAGGGGATTTGTGTATACTAAGGAAAGAGACCCATGTATATAGCACAGAACTTTAAATAGCATTTTTCACTATGCATGATATACCATTTTTAACTTACTCAGCTGTCAAAATGCACAGGGTATGTCATTAAATAGCCATTCTCCCACGTATACAAGTCTCTGTCTCTGAGACTGTATGAAAGCATAGCAAGACCAGATTGTGAAGATCGTAATTCAAAGCTTGCATCAATCTGCTTCTCTTTCAACAAATCAAAAGCAAAAGTTACTCTCATATCCTTAGTTTCAGTAACATACAGCACTCCACATGCTATGAACGCATTGCCAGCTTTGGACTTGGGGTACGTAGTGTTGACGTGTCGAACGGCTGAGAATTTCTCTTCATCAATATGCGCAACAATGATATTTTCATCAATTCTTGAGGCATAGATGATCCAAAGACCCTTTTCATCCACTGCTATATTGAAATATGTCTTGGAGTTAGAAAAGAGGTAGTTGCGACCATGATGCAAAGCATTTTCAATTTTCAGTGTTTTGAACAATCCTGTATCAAGCTCAAATCTGAAATAAAACCATAAATATTTAGCCTTCTATTTATACCTGGTGGCTGGTTAAATTAGTTGCAAGTGGACAGGTATTAGTGGGAATCTTGGTCAAGGGGAGTGAAAGAGTGACAGTCCCTGAGATGTGCCCCACCAGCAATTCCACACACTTGCAACACCTTCCAAGCTAGAAGGAGCAAAGAAAATAGCCAGAAACACCATCATAACAGACAAAACCCACATTGTGTGACAACATGGAAGATTATGAAAGGATTTGTTCTAGCCTACAAAATCTTTTCAGATTACCTAAATGAAAGAAATCAGCTTGGGAGAGGAAGAAGAGGTTTGCAGAAGAAATGTAATGGTCGCTCAAGCTAATTGCAAATGATGCTGAGAGAAGCCACGAA